CACACCGCCCTTCGGAACACCTCCTATGCGCACTCACAGACCTACTTGGCCCTGCTTGCGGGGCAAGTCTATGAACAACGGCATCTCTGTCTCTCGACTTGACGGCTTCACCAACAACGGCTTGGCTGTACCAAGAACTGAACAGACAACAACATGAATGTGAACCTCTCTCTATTGCTGACTCCGTCGCTTGCAAAAACCGCTGGCCTTGCTCCAAGCGCAGAATCTCTGCCCGCTGCGAGCACAAGGTCGCCAGCGCTCGTGGGTCCGGCCGGTAGGCCCTCTCGGCCGCCCAGCGGCCACGCTGCAGTGCATGGCGCCTTGAGAGGCTCGGAGATGGGGTCAGGATCAGGCAAGTAGAGGCCACTCCAAACAATGCTGCTACCGACTCTCATAGGTTATGGCTGGGGCCCCCTCGCAAGCTCGAGGCCCGGAGTGTTCCAGAAGGGCACCGCCAGGGCCAGTCTGCATTCCGCGGCGGAGACATCAGAAAGCAGACCTTCAGATCTTGTCATAGAAAGCTTCTCGCAGAGGAAAACCAAGTGACCTAGGCGGCCGAGTCCCGAGCCGGCCAAGTCTAGGTAGGCATCGTGCCCGAGCCCAGCGTCGGCCTGTGCCATCCACGCCATGACACCGGCTCGCAGGGCTCTCCTCGCAGAGCAGGAGCACAGCTAGAGAAGACTGGAGCCAGGCGGCCAGGCCAGCCCGCGCCAGGCCTGGAAGCCCAGAGCCGAACTTCCTGCGGATGTCTTCTTAGAGCTCTTCCGCATGGAGAGCCCAGAGGTGAGATCAGAGCCGGCAGGCGAACCTCGGATGTACGACCCGCTCTCTGCGAGACCTCCGTGCGAAGGGTTAAACGCCGAGTAGCTTCCCGACACGTTTCTCCACCGTCTGCCCAGCTCACTGTGCAGCATTCGCTGGCCTGCTGGAGATGTGTGGGGCTGCCCGCTCTCCTTCCGTCCACCGGCATCCGGCCTCATCGATGCTGTCGATGGTCGCTTCGTACTCGAAGCCATCTTCTGCCCACGGGGCAAAAACGACATCGCCTGACACTATATGGTGTCACCTGCAACCTGCAAACTATCATTGAATAGAAAGCAGAGTCGGCTAAGCTGCTTAACCTTGGCCTCCACCAGTCACCAAAAACGTGTCTGCTCAATCTTGCTGGTATTCCAGTTCGATGCATCTGGGTATCTGCGACGCTATATATGCAAAGGATATGTGCAACCGTACTCACACAATCTGCCTGCCGCGCGATCCTAAAGGGTGTCCGAAACCAAGGTATCTCACTTTGGCACGGTGGCTTTGACATGACATGTTTGCCACGATGGCCCCATCTTGGACTCGCAGGATTTTCCGCTTTCTTAAGATGTAAGGCGTAGCGTGAAGAGTTCTCGTGTTGCAGATCTAGAGTCTAGAGCTTGGTACTAGAACATCGTGTGGTTCAAGGTGGAGCCTTCGATATTTTGACTTCGGACGTTCTGACCCTCATGCTCGGACTACCTACTTGGCTTGCTTAGGACAATTCAAGGTTCGAGAAAGCACGCGTGCTCGCCTTTTGCCCTAAACTACACCGCACGTACATTCTAGCTTTAATTTGGGTTTAGCACCCCTCCCTGCGTGGGTTTGGGTGGGCTGGGCTTGGTTCGGATTGGGATCTGTCATGCTTGGGTTCTGGGCTGAATGAATTTCCCCACTCTGCGGTGCAGGTGTGGATGGGTTTTGGGATTAGCTTTGTCCTTGTTCTGTGGGTGTGGGTCACCACGTGGTGCGGCTTCGTTCCCAGTCAGATCAACATCCGTAAAACAACAACAGTCGCGAGGTTCACAATCGCTTTTGAGTAACGGTCCGGGAAGCACCGTTTTGTCGCAAGAAGATGAAGGAAGCTGAAAGCAGCAAGCAAGGCAGCACAACTCAGATTTCAAGCCTGCAGCAGCACCTGACCTCGCCTAATTCTGTCATCAAGGGCAACCTCGAAGTGGAACCAAGATCGAGAAGCGACGACATTCCACGAGGATCGCTGCAAAGCAGATTTCAGCCCCAATAATCAACCTTTTTGCATCTGGACGGACCACATGACTACATGTGTATGAGAGCAGCAACTCAGGGATGTTTGTAACTCAGTATCTGTATCATGCATCTACTGCGAACCTCGATCAAAGGCAACACCCGGTCCGAATGACTGTCTGCACTTTTGAGGCGGCGTGGCCCAAACAAAACCAACGACTATCACGCAGATTCCACGGCACCCGGCCACGCCACCTGGCCCTCAACCCTCGACCATACCTCGAGGGAGGGTGCATCCATGCATGTGTGCATGTACGCACACGTATTTACTGGCACATATGGAAGACGGTGCCGAGGTGAGTCCGCATGCGTATAGATGGACAGATGGACACAAAGGCAGATAGACAGATAGGTAGGAAAGACAGCTAGATAGATAGATAGGTAAGTAGGCAGGCAGGCAGGCGGACAAGTAGGCAGGCAGGCATGCATGCAGGCAGGCAGGCACGTAGGTAGGTAGTAGGTCGATAGAGAGACAGATAGACAACAAGGTAGACGCACATGTGCACATATGTATATATATATATATATCATATATATATATATATCATATATATATATATCATATATATATATATAGAGAGAGAGAGACACACACACACATATATATATATACATATATATATTTATTTATTTATTTATTTCTTTATTTATTTATTTGTATTTATATTTAGGGTCCGGGATCAAGCTTCCCAGCAGCGGGGCCAACAGCCAATCCAGGAGGTCATGAGACGATGGATCCCGACAAGTGCGGAGTTGGAGGCCCTCGTCAAGATGGGCGACTGCGCAAGAATCCGGAAAGGTGTCACGCAGAGAGTTTCCCCAAGTGACATGAACTTCACCACCGAGGCCGTGAGGACTTGCGGACAGTTCACAGCAGCTGTAGCAGAAGACGCATTCAAGAGAGGGTAAAACGCTCTTACGCAAACACTACAGGTTGATGCGCTTCATCGGGAGGTTGGTCGCTAAGATTTGCAGCGACTTCCTCGTCGAGGTGCTGATGCAAGTGCCGGATGACACCGAACTGCCTGTGGTGGCGGTTGCTGTTGGAAGCACTGGTTTCGTGGCCCAGACCAAAGTCGTGGCTGTTTTACGCAAGCTGAAAGGCAGAAGAGTGCTTGGCTCTGCTCGCCGGACGAGACTACGTAGACACGTGAAGATGGAGCCTATGCGCTCGGCAACGCGGTTCATCGTCGCTGCGAGTGGAGGCTTGAAGGACATGGTGGAAGATGGCCTCATCGATCTCTCGACGGATGGTAAAGTGACCGTCGAGGCGCTTGTGGAGCAAGAGTCTCTTCGAAAAAAACAGTAAGCTCGGATGCTTGTGACTTGTTTCTCAGTGAATTGTGGAAATCATCTACTTTGCCGCTTTGCCTAAATTACCGCGCTACCTGGGTTGCGCTGCGAAGCGACAAACGCCGAAGGTCTGTTGCTACAATAGTTGTTTGCTCGGCATGCGTGTCTGTATATACGCTGTCACTGTACATGGCACGTACGTCTGAGCGGGGATGGTTTCTTTACAGCAACCATGTGGGGTTTGGTCTTGCAGTTTGCCTCCCCCGGCCCCTGGAGGAATTCGCTCAGCACCTTCAATGTTTGGTGGCCGTCTTTTTTTATACGGGTTCTGCTGCGCATAGTAGAACCCTTGTTTATTTCTGCTAGTGCTTTAGCTGATGCTACGTTCTAGGCTTCGCCTCGCATGTTTGAGTTTTGAGCGCTGGAGGCTCTCGTAGCAGCCGGGTTAGGCTGCTCGCGCACCCCTCGGGAAGGTCTGATTTCTGCGCAGCTCCCGTAAATCGGCGCTAGCGGCACCCGTGGGCTTCCAGAATTCATTCTTTGCTAGAGGTACGTCGCTTTCGGACTTCGCACCTACTGAAGAAAGAAAGACGCATATATGTAAGCACACACAGACACTGACAAACATGCGGACGGAGAATGAGCAAGAGACACACACACAGAGACACTTACACACATGCTTGCGGACGAAAAAAGCAAAACACAAGTATGCGCACTTCGAATTCTTGTGCTCCGCCAAAAAGCTTCTGAAGTTACATCAACGCACTTCTACGGCTGCGGTTATTGATTCATAATTGCTTACCATTCTTTGCGAGCAGAGACCAACCCATCGACAACATCTCACTCTTTCAGGGACGATCGAGGACACCTGGTTGAAATACTCGGTCTTCCGTGCCAGCGCAAGGAAGGGGTGAGGGACTGCGAAGCAGAAGAAGGCCCTCTGCCTGGAGTCGCAATGCAAGAAAGACGGCGTTTAGTCGGGACGAAGTTCTTCGCGAAGTGCAGCAACTTCTGCTGTTTGCTTACAAGCCACATTGTTCGCCGCCACTCGCAGTATCGGCGAGCCGGACGGGCCAGAGCGGCACTGACGGAAGCAACGCAGTGCATCGTCAAAGCGTTGGGCGCGCACGGCCCGGAAGCCTGAAAGGAAACCACAAAAGGAGGAACAGAGGGAAGGAGCTTGAGCACCACACCTACATTCACTCACGGAATGCCGTTCATTCACGACGAGCCTTCGGACAGCGCTGTGACATCAGGCCGCGTGACAGTCGAGAATCGCCGCTGCCCTGTCACCCGCAAGTGCAAATACCCAAGAGACGCCTCTTCTCCAACAGAGCGGAGTTACGTGCATTTCTTAGCTGCTACATTGCTACATGCTTGGGAGCCTCGCGCTGGTAATGCAAAGCGCTCGGCTGCACGCGACCAGGATGCACAAGCATGTGGGATCATGCGGGCTGGTTAACGATTGTTGCTCGCATGCGGCGCCATCCGCTCTAGGATAGAAAGCTCGGGTAGGCTGTCAGACGACTGAATGAATGTGCTGGCATAGGACGCGGATTTGACTGGACGACTTCTTGAAGCCATACTGCCATCCGCACGTGCAAACTCGGAGGGACACCAGCCAAAAACGGGGTCCCGACATGCAGCTAGCTCCCAAGGATGAGGTGGCCAGAAAACCTCACAGACTGCTCGACGTGCAAAGTCCCGAAACCTCTCCCCTAAGGCCCTAAGCTTCGCACGCATTCCTGGGACTCCTGTAGCAGCTGAAGTGCATCTCTGGCCTCGCTGGACAAGCAAGCCGTTGGTAGTGCCACATTCTGCCGCTGTGATCTCGAAGATCCTCGGCTCTTTGTGGTCTCCTTCCAAGGCGTCCATCAACGAGCAGATTCCCTCCAACTCTTCGCTTGTTGTCAATACGACAGCAGCCATTGCAGGTGGAGCTGTACATGAGCGTACCAAGTGTCGACCTCGTTCGACACATAGTGACCAGGCATCAAATGATGCCCAGTCATGGGTGCAAACATAAAGGTCCAGACATTGGCTCCGGTGAGACCGAGAAATATCTGTACATGTGAGTCATGTGAGCAGCAGATTTCCTGGAGCATGTCCCCGCCGCATTCGGCATAGACTCAAGCTGCAGGATTCTTCCTGGGCTTCACTGCTCCTTCTTGTCAACTGCAGTTTTCCCTTCGAAGCGCGGAATCTGCATGTGCCTGCGAAGCTGGCAGTCACCCGCAGCCCGCGCAGTAATCCTGCAGACTTGTGTCGAGTGTGTCGAGGCCTTCTCAGCATCTCCAACGCGGTGTCCACAAGAGCCGGCTGCGAGAAAGCCAAATCCCGGAACTCTGCAAAAGACAGATCCTGCACAGCGGCTGCAGCGAGCTTGACCCAACTGCTCAGATCGGGGATTTGAAGGGCCAAGAAAAGCAGCCTGCGACAGGGTGTCGCCATCGGTCAGCTGCGCTACAAAGCTGGCAGCTGCACTGCCAGAGCCCTCCATGTCCTCTCGGAGACACAGGGACGCCGTCTACAGTCTGGAGATGGCGGCTGTTAAAGAGGCGGCTTTGCATGGCTTTGCGGCTTCGCGGCCGCCACAAGGAAGGCAAGCTGCAAGCGGCTCGACTCGGAGCCACGGCCGGAGAGCAGTGCTGCCACCTCAGCGCCCAGCGCAGGAGCCCAGCGACAGCGCACGACAGCTCCAAGCGGATATTCGCGCGCGGCCGCGGCCTGAATGAAGTCTCTGTACTCGACAGCTCCACTTTTGTCCTCACCGCTCCGGGACACAGAGAAGCATTGCAGACGGCGACGATGCCTGGTCGAAATAAGCGAAGAGAGCCGCCTGAAGCCACAAGGTAGTTGGAATTCGCAACTGTTCGATCCAGCGGCCTCTTGGCTCAGGCGCCCAGAGCCGCCAAGACCAGACACGGCCTCGCATCAAAGCTTCGTGCTCGCTCAGAAGCGGCTGAGGCTAAGCCCAAACCGAATTATTCCGGCCCCCTGAATTTGGATGGCATCGCGAGATCTTGTGATGACCAGCACCCGCAAAGGTTGCAAGCTGCAGGGCCTGACAAAACTCGTCGTAGGCCATGGCCCCGGAGTCGCTCCTGGGATCCACGCACAGTCGCAAAAAATCGCGGGGGTCTGCCCTCTGGGCGCGCTTACCGCAGCCGAGTGTCGTGTTGCATCTCTCGAAGGATCGCAGCACGCCCTTTAGGTCATCGGCGCTGCAGCTGTACTGCTGCTTCAATCGTGCCACCTCGAGCAGCCAGAACCCGTATCATGTGAGTTGGCCCTGAGCATAAGAATGACGTGCCTCGAAGTCGCTGCCAACATGCGCACGCGAGCCAAAGGCCAGGAAAGCATCTTCATAGCTCTGTTCGGTGCATGGGACACCGAGACGTGCAGCCATGACCTTAGCGAATATTCGGCATGACTGTCCCCTGCGGCATGAGAATTGTCGGCCGCATCAATAGTATACTCAACCTGTTGTGGCAGCCAGGAGGCTCTCCTCACGTTGTTCGCAAAGAGCCTGTTAAACCGCAGCATGATCTGTAGAGCCCAATCCGCAAAACGACCTAGTTAAGACATGTACATGCAAACCAGGACACCTGTCATCTTCAATTTCTTCTGGTGAAGGTGCCTCTGCGGGACGAAAAAATTGCACGTCTCCAACCGAAGAAGATTCAGCATCGCGCGACAGCTTGTTTATGCACAATGCAAAGGCCCCACGTACGTGTCCAGGATTTCGATCTGGCACTCGTTCTTGAACTGCAGCAGAGTTCGCAACAGAGCGGTTCCCAGCGCATGGTTCCTTCCGCAGCCGGCGGGGTTGTAGTGCCTGCAATGGGGCATGCCTGCGATCTAATGCCAATGTTGGATCTTTCGAACCCTTCCCATGCAGGCAGCACACTGTAAGCACTACTTACGGTAGTAAGCGAGGCTACTACTAGTAGTAAATTACTGCTATTACTAGTACTGTACTACTACTACTACTACTACTACTACTACTACTACTACTACTGCCATCTCTCTAGGGGACTCAAGGGTTGCCCAAAAGACGCTCCTGAACGACGCCCAAAGTCTCAGGGGTTTAGGTTTTAGT